CCTCCCACAGCTTCATGGAGCTCCCAGCTGTGGGGATGCCCCATGCACCCCAATGACTGAGACACTCAACTGCTGTTATCGCCCAGCCTCAGAAACCCTTGGGGATGGGAGATCACAACTGCTGGAGAGCTCCTGAAGCTGGAAAACTGCAGCAGCTGCCATCTCCCAGCCCTGGGAGCTGCACGTACTCTTGGGGCTGGGATATCACAGCTGCACCCCGCAGCTTCTGGCACTGAGTCACACTTGTGGTATCCAGTGTCTGCAGCTGCTAGAACCTGCATCCCAGCAGCTGTGGGGTGCTGCCAGAACCCAGAGTCAACAGCTGCTGGGGATGAGAATGCCCTTAGTTGCAGGACTTCCATTCCCAGCTAAGCGTGATACACCCCTGAGACTGGGAAGACCCCGCAACACATACAAATTAAAACTCCAAGGCAACCAGCCATGAAGTTAGTACACATTTTTAAGGTCTAACTTTATAGCTGGTTGGAGCTTTTTATAGTACAATAGGTACCTTGCATGTGTAGTTGGTCTCAGGGTAATTGTGCTATACCTCTAACAGGTAGAGGGAACCTAATTGGATCTCTTTGAACTGATGCAGAAAAATATTTAAAAGGTAACCCCTGTCTTTTAATATAGTATTATTTTTTCTATTTAAAATGTACTTAGATACATTTCCTGACATTTTGGCATGTGTCATTTCCTTCAAATGCCAGAGGATAATATAAGAAATGGATAACACCATATTTATTTGAATATAAAACAAGGAGTGAAGACAGAAGTGACAATTTTCATCCAATCTGGCTACAGAAAGCAGTTTATAGCTGTGACCAAACAAATGTGCATGGCTGCACACAGATTAAAAAATAGTCGATCTGGTGAAAATCTGACCCCTTATTGCATGCAGTTTCAGATGAGGACATTTCAAAATGTAATGCCTTTTGTAACTTGTGTCTGTGAAGCTTCCAGCCTGTCACTGTTTTCAGAATGGGAGAGGGCAAGGGAGAAGATGGAGTTCAGGCTGGGGTTTTTTCAACCCCCCTGGAGGATGGGGTGGGTGTATAGGGCCCCCCCACCTCGAGGTGTGTGTGGGGGGGGACTCCAATTCACCCATCCCACCCTTCAGCAATGTTTGGGGAGTTCCAAGAATGAGCTCCCTCTGCTGCCTTTCCCCCTCCCATTCTGAAATGGTGAGCACTGGCAGAGAGCTTGGCTGTTGCTATGAAGTCCTGACTTCCGGCTCCTAGGCAGCGCCTAGACTCCCCTCCCCCTGGAACCAGCAGTGAACTTCTGTTTGGTCTGGGGTAATGTAAGTCAGAACACCTTGCAGAAATCCTTCTGAGTTACAGCTGGGAGCTGCTGGGAGCTGCACTTCTGTCTCTACCCAAGGTTTTTTCCTTCAATCAGCACTGGGGGGAAAAGCCCCTCATTCTTATATTGCATATGATCCAATACCCCTCCACTCCCATTAAATGCATTAGCTATCATTAAACTGCTGCTAGAAGCACCATGTGCTCAGGCATGGAACCCAACTATGAAGCTGATTGAATGTTCCTGAGCATGCCCATAAAACACCTGGTCCATATTAGGCAAACAGTGATGGGAACCTTTTGTGTATGTGTGTGCTTGTGTGGAGGGAATGGGGGCCCTTGAACAAATGGGCAGTTGTTCCCCCAGGAGAGAATGAGCACCAGGCCTGGAGGTACTGCAATAGCAGGCCAGCATTTAGAGGGGTTGAAACAATCTCCAACCTCCCTCCGTAGTGCCAAAAATGCTGATAGGAACTTTTGTGTGAGAGAGCGCCAGCCTTAACACCCCACCCTCCTCTTTGGTGCCAAAAATGTTTATTCTTAGCCAAAGGCTAAGATGCTGATGGGAAGCTACCACAAGCCTAGGCTGGTACAACCCATCTGAATAATGGCCACTGTGCTCAGTACCCCTCAGCCCCAATTCTGTTTCAAGTCATAATGAATGACTACATCAAATACATTTTGAACATCCTCTTCCCTCTCACAGCTGAGTTGGGCTGTTCTTTCTTATTTTCAATGATTTCTGTTTCTTCATGAGCTATACCTGTCTGGTAAAATCACCAAACATCTGTGTAACTAAGGGGCTCTATCGCTTCCTCTCTCAGCCTGTCACGTGTGATTAACAGGGATCCTTGTTTTCCATGATAAAAAAAAAAAAATCACAAATTCTCTGATAAAAATGGCAAATTCTTTGATTAAATCCCCAAAATCAATGATTAAAATGAAAGGCCACTATATCTATATATCTATATATACATACTTATATATCTCGATATCAGTTTAACACAATGTTTTCTTGATATATTTACAATTTTAAAGCAATTTGGAAGAATACCAGTTCCTCAATCACCATAATAAAATAAATTCTAAATACCTATAAATTTTGGTGTTTGATCTTGGGTTTTTTCATCATGGAAAAAATGATGCCCCCTGCCCCCTTAGCTAACAGAATGCATGTCCCGGCCCCTCACTTCCAAGCCACAACCTCTCAGCCCTGCCAGTACCCCTCATCCCCCACCCCCAGCCCTGCTGCCGGAACTACAAGGCCAGGGACCTGGGGACGCAGCCATCTCGCCCCATAGTGCCAAGCCCCAGCTGCTGCCTCTGGGAGGCAGCAGCTGCTGCAGTGGAGCAGAGTGCAAAACCCAGCTCCCCACCCCCATGCTGCCTGCTGCCTGTGAGCTCCATGCTGCCCTTGTGAGGCATCCCCTGCCCATGTGGCACCAGTGGGGTCAGTGGTGCAGGCTTGGCTCCTCTGCTACAGCCATGTGGCAGGAGATTCCTCATCAGGGCAGAATGGATC